AAGGGTACCAGATGCAAACAGTATCCAGAGGAGGACAGCTTCTGAGCGCACACGCATCTGTAGATTGTGTGGTGGAGACAAACCAACCATGAACCTTGCTTTCATAATTGGCCTGAGACTGCTCAGTGACATGAATTGGCTCTGTGTATTTCTGACCTTGTTAGGTCACCAGCTCTGACTACGTGCAACCTCTACCTACAGGTTAACTCAGGAGTTTGTATGAATGGTACTAGTCTTGTAATGATGGATGGTGTACATACAACGGAGAAGCCAGTTTCTTTGATGTGAATATCCACAGCCCCATGGACAGGGGTCCCAACATGATGAACACTTGGGCAGCAACACTGGAAGCAGAACCGATGTCTCAAAAATGGTGGGGTAACATGCACACTGAAGCCTCCTTTACTCCTAGCCCCAAAGCCAAAATTCAGAGTTTGGAAAACAGACACCATGAAGACAAAGGTGTGAATTATCTGCTTTATTGCTTTCTTGTTTCTTACTGTGAAGTCAATGTTTTTGAACAGTAATAATATGTCGAAAATTCAACATTTTAAAACATTCAGATAACAAAATAGAATGAGGAGAGAAGCCCTCCACTGTTACCTCCTCCAACTACCCCTGCTGGAGCCACCTGCAAGAGTGGCCCCTGGGACGGGTCATGTTGGCTTGTGGAGAGGATTCTTCTCCATGCAAGACCAGGAGGGAGTCCTACACACCTCCAGCCATTTGGTGTCCCTCTAAAGAGGGACAGGAGATCCCAAATGGAGCCAAGGCTGATGGCCTCTCCCCACACAGCAGGCTTATAAGGCCCTGTGAACAGGAGGGCCAGCCAGCAGAGGGCAAGGCAGGATGGGTCCGCCTCCCTAAGCCTTTGTATGTAAAAAAGGGTTGTCACACATCTGGGCGGTGCCCTCCACAGGACCAGCTGGAAGCAGGTGACTGTCAGTGGCACTCTGCCTGAAGGCACAGGGTCCTCGCCATCTCAAGGAGAAGTCACTGTGCTTTGAGTACTTTTCAAAACACACCCTACCTCTGAAAAGCTGTCAGCTGCCATAGGTCTGATTGCAATCTTAGCCTGGTTTCTTTTGCGACATTTCAGAATCTTAGAGCCCTTGAAATCTTGATGTGCTCTGTTCCTTATATAAGGAGTCAGATTTCCAAGGGGTCAAGGCTCAAAGGAAGACATGGCTGTGGTACATCATTCCACAGAGAAAAATAAATACACGACCCTCTAGTGTGAATGTGAAACAACCACAAAGAACTAAATATCTCAGACCCCGTGGCTGCAGGTCCCACACTAACAATAACAGGGAGTCTAAAGACTGTGATTTCCTTATGAGACATTTACCTACCACAACTTGAAAGGATGAGCAACAACATATCAAAACACTGTAAAACATGAGCTTCTTCAGTACCAGGGGAGTGACTGTGGAGTCAGTAACGACTGATGTCCAATTGAAACAACCCCCTTGTAGTCCTCCCCGTGGTCCTCTCAGGATTCCATAGTAAAAGTGGACACGGGGCCCGTTGCACCTCATGGCGACACCGAGGGTGTGCACAGGAACTTTCCCTGCAGACTGACAAAGGATCACACTTTTGCCTGAGGGATTATTTCAAGCCCTTCTTGCTTCTGAAACACTGGTGTCATGACTGCCCTTTTCAAACACTGTGCCTCTGAAGGAGGAGGAACCATAAAGGTACATTTATTCATGTCCATGCCGTCTAAAGCTACAACCACCAGGACTGGAAAGGGGACGAATTAGAACCGAAAACAACAAAAACTCTGGGACTTTTGCCCTCCCAAACTCCAAGTCTGAGCTCAAAAGAAGAATCTGCAGGCTGGCGAGCCAGCTTCCTCCCTGAGAAGTTCTCCCTCCTCTGCCTCCAGCTGCTGCGTCTCTCCATTAAGGCCTGGACAGTCAGTGGTGCGCAGTCTCTCCCAGGTGGTCAGTCACCTGTGGGCTCCGTGCGTCCCCGCGCACCGGCGGGCTGGGCTCTCTGCAGCTCCTCCACCATTTGCAGCAGGGCGGAGCGCTCCACCTCCAGGGCCAGCGCCGCCTGCTTCAGCTGGCTCTCGCTGCTCACAAGCTTCTCCACTGTGGCTTCAAGGCTTTGGATCCTGGCATTTGCCACCTGGAGAATGGAAGGAGAGATGAGAATGTGCCCATCCCTGATTACACCAGAGAGGCTTGCTGTGAATGCCGCCACTTCAGGGACTTTGGAGCAGAAGCACACCAATGGATGATCAGCTCTGGCCATGCAAGAACCACCCCAGCTTCCGGTGCGGGCCAGCTGGGCCTTACAAACACCCTGACAGTGTCCTGCACCTTCTGCCCTGGTGTGGCCCTTCTGGGGAGCGGGGACGGAGAGAGCAGCATCAGAACAGAGAGGGAACTGGACCCCCATCTCTAGTGGGAAAAGCTCAAGCACACATAGGATGCTGTGCTGGGACTGGAGGCACACAGCACGGCCTATTCCAGCTTACCCACACATCTGCATGGACAAACTGATCTCATGCTCACAAACGGTCAAATGGCTTCTATGTGACGGTTCCTTTGTCTTAGGGATAGCTCTTTCACCTGAAATCTGGTTTTCTTTTTTGTGGCGTAGCAAGACATCACTAAGGGAAACTAGACATTTCCCGTGAGAGGTGGAATGGCGGAAACTGCACTTTCCTGAGGGGGTTCTCTGTACTGCTGCCCACTGGCCACCACCAATCGTGCAAAGAACAAGCCCCTTTAAAGAACTTGAGAAGAACAAGCCCCGAGTGTGGCTCTAGGGGTGAAAACATGTACCAGGGCCAAGGAAGTAGAAGTTCTGGTACTTCATCAACCCTGACCCCTATGTCCCGTCCGCTAGGGCAGGCCTCAGGGGTGGTAAGCTCTGTTGACCTGAGGGGCCCACTGAGAGTGCTGAAGCAGCTCCAATAGTGTAGTTTGTATTCCAGGCCTTTCTAGCCTGCTCCTCAGCTCCTGGTGCACTTGCGGCCTACAGCACTAAGGGCTGCCCACCTCATTACCCAGTCCAGCTTTGCACGTCCCGTTTATTTCAAGCTAGGGAAAACGGCACATCTATTTTCCCACCTCATTTTCAAAACCAGGGAAATTGTTTTTTGAACAAGACAACCTTCATGCCAGACAGAACACCTGTGACTCTAAGTCTAGCTCTGGCTGCACCATTACAACCCTGAAAATCAAAAGAGAAAAAAGATGGGCGGCTCAACTCACTACCTTCGGGGGAGGGGGCACGCCTGGTGCGTATCCTTAAGTGATGCCCTCTCATCCCTCCACTGCCCAGGGCCTGGACTACCTCTGTGTTCTGAGGGCCATCAGCTCAGGGGAACTTACTGGTTTGCATGGTCATTTCCCATACGGCTTAGTAGTGAACTAATTTGCATAGCGGTTTACCAGTGGCACAGATGGCAGGTCTCCTCAGTAGACTAAAGAAAGCATGTCTGAACTCTCAGAAGGTCTGGTCCCCACAGGCCCTTCTGAGCGGGAACTAACTGTAGCAAGCTGGGTATTAAGGAACGTTCCCATGCACTTCTAGCCTAGGAAATATCTATGTCCTGCTTGACAACAGCACGTTCAAGAATCGAGAAATGATTCTTGCTTGTGGACAACTCAGTTTGTCCTTTCTTTCTGAGATATGGTTTCCCTGTGTAGCCCTGGATGTCCTAGAGCTCGCACTAGAAACCAAACTGGGCTCAAAACTCAGAGATCTGCCTGCTTCTGTCTCCTAGGAGATGGGATTAAGGGCGTGTGCCACCACTGACCAGCTGACAACTCTGTGTTTGAGACAATTTATTTTTTAATTAAATTTTTATTTTATTTACCTTGTATCCCAGCGTAGCCCCCTTCCAATCCAACCCTCCCTCTCTCATCTCCTCCCTGTCCCTCTCTAAGTCCATTGATAGGGGAGGTCCTCCTCCCCTTCCATCTGACCCTAGCTTATCAGGTCTCACCAGGACTGGCTGCAATGTCCTCCTCTGTGGCCTGGCAAGGCTGTTCCTCCCACAGAGGGTAGGGAGGTCAAAGAGCTCACCATTGAGTTCATGTCAGAGACAGTCCCTGTTCCCCTTACTAGGTACCCACTTGGATACTGAGCTGCCATGGGCAACATCCGAGCAGGGGTTCTAGGTTATTTCCATGAATGGTTCTTGGTTGGAGAATCAGTCTCAGGCCCCTGTGCCCAGATATATTTGGTCCTAATGGAGCTCCTGTCCTCTCCAGGTCTTACTAACTCCCCCTTCTTTCATATGATTCCCTACACTCTACCCAAAGTTTGGTTATGAGTCTCAGCATCTGCTTTGATACACTGCTAGGTGGAGTCTTTCAGAAGCCCTCTATGGTAGGCTCCTGTCCTGCTTCTTGTTTTCTCCTACTTCCAATGTCCATCCCATTTGTCTTTCTAAGTAAGGACTGATCATCTTACCCTGGGTCCTCCTTCTTGTTTAGCTTCTTTAGGTATACAGATTTTAGTATGTTTATCCTATCTTATAGGTCTAGTATTCACCTACAAGTGAGTATATACCATGTGTATCTTTCTGCTTTTGGGATACCTCACTCAGGATGATCATTTCTAGGTCCCACCATGAAATCTGCCTGCAAATTTCATGATTTCCTTGTTTTTAATTGCTGAGTTTCCATTGTGTAAATGTACCACAATTTCTGTATCTATTCCTCAACTGAGGGACATATGGGTAGTTTCCAGGTTCTGGCTATCACGAATAAAGCTGCTACAAACATGGTTGAGCAAATGTCCTTATTGTGTACTTGAGCATCTTTTGGATATATGCCTAGGCATGGTATAGCTGGATCTTGAGGAAGTACTATTCCTAATTGTCTGAGAAAGCCCCAGATTGATTTCCAGAGTGGTTGTACAAGTTCATATTCCCACCAGCAATGGAGGAGGGTTCCCTTTTTCCACACCTCTCCAGCATGAGTTGTCACTTGAGTTTTTTGATCTTAGCCATTCTGATGGTGTAAGGTGAAATCTCAGGGTTGATTTTCATCCCCTGATGGCACAGGATGTTGAACATTTCTTTAAGTGTTTCTCTGCCATTCTACATTCCTCTACAGAGAATTCTCTGTTAGCTCCATACCCCATTTTTTAATTGGATTACTTGATTTGTTGCTTTTTAAACTTCTTAAGTTCTTTATATATGCTGGATATTAGCCCTCTGTCAGATATAGGGTTGGTGAAGATCCTTTCCCAGTCTGTAGGCTGTCATTTTGTTCTGACGACAGTGTCCTTTGCTTTACAGAAGCTGTTCAGTTTCATGAGGTCCCATTTATTGATTGTTGCTCTTAGAGCCTGTGCTGTTGGTGTTCTGTTCAGGAAGTTGTCTCCTGTGCCAATGAGTTCTAGGCTCTTCCCCGCTTTTTCTTCTAACACATTTAATGGAGACAACTTATTTTTATATGTACTCTGTGCACTAAAGTTTAATAGGCAAAGAAAATTTTAGAACTATCTCAAGTATCTTATAAATAAATAAACCTGTAATAGCATTTCTTTTTTCCCTTTTGTATTCTAAAATATTTTTTATTAAATTTTTATTTTTTTAATATTAGTTACAGTTCATTCACTTTGTATCCCAGCTGTAGCCCCCTCCCTCATTCCCTCCCAATCCCTCTCTCCCTCCCTCATCTCCTCCCTGCCCCTCTCTAAGTCCACTGATAGGGGAGGTCCTCCTCCCCTTCCATCTGATCCTAGCTTATCAGGTCTTGTCAGGACTGGCTGTAATGTCCTCTTCTGTGGCCAAGCAAGGCTGCTCCTCCCTCGGTGGGGTAGGGGAGTTGGGGGAGGTCAAAGAGCCAGCCACTGAGTTCATGTCAGAGACAGTCCCTGCTGTAATAGCATTTCAAGAAAAAAAAATTGGTTCTAGTCTGATAATTTAGATGACATGCATATATTAACCTAAATTTAGCATTTACGGTTTGAGAATCTATTAAAAGTCAGAAATATTTTCTGGAAATAATCTACGATCACTATTCTCTTACTCATATTTACAGGTCCTTGACCAATGTGTGCCACTATAAAAGCTGAAAACGCCTTTGGACTTTTGAAGTTCTGGCAGGACGCATGTGCTCTCTCCGTAGAACCCCAACCTCCCCCTTTCTGGGCTTATTTACTCAGGGTTCTTGACGAGGAGCGAGAAGCAGTGGAACCTGGAGGCTAGCACAGGCTGTTGGATGTCTACCTCGCAGCCACAGTTACTGCTCACATTTAGCATCCAGTCTTTCACAGTGTTTTTTTCACAGAACACACTTTTTTTAAAGCACACCACACAGCTTGGTAATTTGCTTTTCTACTTAATAGATCAAAACCTAACACAGTGAGAAGCAGCAGCTGCGTGTCCTGTACTTGGAACAACAGCACTCGACATAACTGAGCAGTGTGCTGCCCCAGCCTAGTTCTTCCGACTGCCCCCTCTGGCACCTTTCCACGCTGTGCCCACCTGAGGCGTGCAGGGCCAGCGTTTTCCAGTGGAGATTTTGTTAGGCAGTACTAAAGGTTGCAGAAAGACAGTACTCGCTCACAGTACCCGAGGACAGTTTAATTTCCCATGCAGTCACGCCCACTGTTGTCTTCGCAACCTGATTTTCAAGACCCATAATTATTAATGTAGATTAAGTATCCATGTTAACAGGTTCACTCTGACCTTTCCATACATGCACATCCTGTGTTTTGGTCACGCCCACCTTCCCAATTACTTTCCAACTACCCCCATCTTCCCCTTTCCTCCCCCACCCCAGCGGAACATCGACTTTCTGCACATGACAGCAAAAAGGCAATATTGTTGATTACTTGTCTTTCTGTGCCACACCACATTTTCTTAACGTTTATGAAATAATAAGTAGGACTTTTAGTTTGCCTGTCAACAATATGAATGGAACCAAGCTACGATGTAGTCTGTACTATGTACTTTAGGATCACAGTGAAAGCCTTACACAAAAGGGACAAGATGCATATGGGATATATTACAGAGAGGACTATGGGAAAACTACCTCTAAATCAACACAGGGTCCTAACCACACAACACTACGACCCCTTGCCCACATTTCTAGGAAGGGCCATGTCCAATATAGCTACTTGCGCCCAGTAGCTAGAGTAACTACAGCAGGCTAGCAAAGCCCGCAACCCTGCATCAGACCCTCCTAGAAGTGTAGAAGCTCTTGGTCCAGAGAGGCGGGGATCCAGGGGACACAGTGGCCGTGAGTTACTGTGGACACCTTTTCAGCAGTATGCAGACCCCGCAGAGTGTTTCACAACTTCCTTACACAGAGGCAGCGTGTACCAAGTACGGACACAGGCATTAGCCACGCGAGGACGCAGGACATACCTCTGCTTGCTGCAAGCTGGCTGCCTCAAAGTGCAAGTGTGAGCTCGGTGGGAAGAGCAGCGTGTCCTGTGTGACAGAGCACACTCTGTCCCCTCCGACTTCCCTTCAGGTGGCAGCTGAGACTTGCAGGGAAGACTGTAACTGGGCATATTTTCAGTATGGACAAATTAGGAAGTGTGGCTTCAGGTGTGCCCGGCAGTCAGGGTGGGTGAGGGCAGCATTTTGGTTGTGTGTGCTATACAGTAAGGACTTACTGGAGTCCTGCTGGGAGGAAGGCTCTGGAAGCAGGGCTGAGGACTCAATGCTCACCTTTCTCACATCACGGATAAACTCATGTCTGCAGAGAGGCAACTTTCTATGTAGAAGGGTCAGAACCAGATAAGGACGGAAAGCGTATTCTGTGGAGGCCAGGGACGCCATTTACAAGCTCTTTAAAAACGGTCCTTCATTAATTTCTAAACACTGACATGTTCTCTCGTTTATGCCATCAGTGAAGAGAACACATGGCTACTTAGTGCCATGTGCTGACAGCGAGCCACGCTCTGCAGCAAGGCTCCTACCACACTGACGAGACCATCCCGAAGCTCATCCCCTCTCCCTTCTGCATGTGCTTTGTTTCCTGCTGTTCTTCTGTGTCCTCACCTGCACTTACGCACTTAAGATGGGAGGTTCGAGAAGGAGAACTGCTCGTATTTATGTCTGCTCGTAGACATAAATAATCATCCTATGTTCTGATTTATTTCATTAGATAGATTTTTATGTCATTTCTCTCCTTCAAAATCCCTCCAAGGACCTCGCTTGTTTCACCTCCAGGCAAGAAAGCTTAAGACTACCTCATTATTATTCAAAGCACAATTGTTGGCATTCAGCATGTAGGACCAAGCTGGTCTCCCAGCCTGTCTCCTGCAAAGCTAAGTGTAGAAAGAGCCTCTCAGAAAACTCCTGGACTGTCTGACCTTAGCAAGGACTTTCTGTCTGCTCCATCATAAAAGAGCTGATTCTCCCGGGACACCTCTGATCGAGACTACAAAGAGCACAGGGTGGGAAAGGTCCCCCGGTCATGGGAAAGGCCAGGCTGCTGTTGCCTTTGGTGAGTTAATGAGCTACTATACACAGAGGCTCCAGAAGCTGCTCTGCAAATATGCTCTACCTGCAATTGTTCCAGGAGGTCAAGGTTCTGTTTGCGTAAGCTGCTGTTGGTTTTTTCCAATTTGTCCATTCTTTGGTTATCACTGAGAGGAGAAGAATCGATAAGTTCTTCTTGGAGCACATGGTACTCAACCTCATAGGCTTGTAGTTGTTTGGCAATGTCCATCTCAAACACCTGTTAGACACAGAAAAGTCACCATGCTCAGAAACTAAGTCGAGCCTCCCCCACGCCCCTGCACTCACGCCCCTGCCCCACACCCCTGCCCCACGCCCCTGCCCCACGCCCCTGCCCCGAGCCCCTGCCCCACGCCAGTGTGCATCTATCACCCCTCTGTGCTTAGCATCATGTTTGGTGATACACAGGAGAGAAGGGAACTGAGCTCTAAGGCCATGGTTTTTACACAGGGAGATGATAAACGTTACAAATAATTCCAAAGGAAAAAATAAGTACAGATTCTGATGCTCTTTTTTCTAAAAAGGCCAAAACAACAAAAAAGAGTTAAAAGGACTTTCGAGGGGCTAGAGAGACAGCTCAGCAGTCAAAAGCACCGGCTGCTCTTCTACTTTTCAGCCCCACATGGTGGCTTACAGTTGTATTTCCAGTTCCAGGGGACCTCCTGCCCATTTCTGGCCGCCACAGGCACTAGGCACCCGGGTGGCACCCACAGCGCGTGTGCGTGCGCGCGCGCACACACACACACACACAGAGCAAACATCCATACATATAAGTAAACAAAACAAAAACCAAATCAAAATAAGACTTTCAAAACTTTAATTCTGATGTCTTTTCTCTGCAAATTATATTAAACACATTGACTATAGGTTAAAAGATGACAAAAGAATCATGTCCTATTTGCAGTCACGAAGTCCAAGTTTAATTACGATTCAGCTGGGTTTTTAGAGTTGTAAGAAAGACACAGTAACGGGACTGTTTTCAAAAAAGCCCTCTTGACACAGATACGTAGAAATGAGCCAACCCAACTGTCACCCACACGAATGAGTGAACACAAAACAATGTCTGAGTCGTCTCTCTTCCCATGACAGTAACAGTGATGACAGAGCTGCACGTGTGGAAAAACCCCAAAGTGCAAAAGTGACTCAAGCGGCCATACCCTTACTTTCTCCTGATGAGGCGGCGACAGGGCTGTAGTGGGTAGGTGTGAGGTCAGAAGGCAGGCTTGTGTGGCCCAGTGTAACCCCTTCCCTGTGGGTAGGGTAACCCTGCAGGCTGACGCCTCTCAGCACAGGCCGTATTAGTTACTTTTCTTGTTGCTGGAACAAATCGCTCAGCAGAAGTTACAGAGAATGAAAGGTTTATTTGGGATCACTTCAAGTGGGGGTCAGCGTGGCAGGAGCATGAGGTGGCGGGTTGCCCTATCTGTGCTCAGCAGGCAGAGCGAGGAGGGCTGGAGCCGAGCTCACTTTCTCCTTTCTGTTCCGTTTGGACCCCAGCTCCCGGGATGGTAAGTTTCCTCACCTTATTATCCTGGTCTAGAAAGCCCTCAGACGAGTCCTGAGGTTTGTCCCCTGGGTGGTTCTAGCGCAACCCTCAAGGTGGCTCTGGCAGATACAACCGTTTACAAGACTGTCCAGAACACTCCTGAGAGCCAAGTCAAGGCTTCATACGTGCAGAAGCTGACTCTACTGCAGTTCCTAACGACAGAGTAACCCCGTCATAGTCTGGAAAGCAGGCTTTCCCCGAGAGTCCCCTCCAAGCACCGGTGCTGCCTTCCAAAGCTGTGCCATGTTCTCGCCAATCCCAAATGTCTTATTTTTCTCTGAGATAAAAAGTTCAGCTTCCTAGCTTTCAGGTTAACTCAGTGAAGATCTCTAAGTAGATTCAAACGTTATTCTGTAACTACTAAGTCACGTGCTGTCTGAACCCACCTGAGTTTCGACTCAATTCAGTGGAGATGACCATCACACTTCACAGCCCTGGTGACAGGCTCAGGCTGTGAGTCAGCTGGGACACTGGGGACCCACTGGTGACTCTCTGAAGAACCCCAAGCATGCTACTCACTCAGTCTCTCCTGGCCTCAGTTCTAGGTCTCCTACTTGGGGCAGTAACACCTGCCTCCCAGCACTGAGCTGGGAGTGAAGAGACAGTTCATAGACGTTCCAGCGCACGCCTGAAAGTTCATCTTAGCCAGAGTCTGTTTTCACACACAAACCCCTCAGATTTTAACCTCACATCTCAGCAGAACTACAGCAGATGCGTGATGTGACGCTTCTGAACTATCTGAGCAAGGCAAGACCCACAGCAGTGAAAGCAGACACTGCTCTGGCCCTCTGTGTAACTACGAACATGGAGCTGAGCCCCCCACACACTGCTTTTAAAGATCATGTCCCAGCCTGGAAAACTTAGCAACAATGCCTCTGGCCTTTCAACAGATTGATGACGTGTTAAGGTTAAGCCTGACCACAGGCTATGCACCCTCATGGGCCTCCACAAATTCCTAATAAATGTCCTGGGTCCTCACTGTCTTGGTATAATTGTAGCATCAGCTGGCTGATGAAAACACAGTCCGTGACTGTAGTTGTGCCCCAGAAATGGTCCAGACCCACAGCAGTCTGTCAGTTTGTGCAAGAGCCCTGCTCCCTGAGTGGCATGTACAGCTCTTGGAATGACTTGGGCAAGGGACTGAAGAGTAAAGGGATGGCAGTAGGCCCTGTTCTTGGATACTTAAAGGACACAACTGACTGACGGTGCCAGGCCTTAGCTAAAAAGAAAAGAAGAGCAGGAAGGCCCAAGATTAAAGCAGGATTCCAGAGTGGCATCTCAGAGAAGCACTGTCAATGAACTGAAAAGAACATTGGGTAGTGGGTTTCAAAGGGAAAAATCAACACCCAATGGAAGGGGGTTCAGCAGCCCCTCCCCCACTGAGTCTTCTTTATAACCCATTCCCTGAGCATGATCACTCCACAAAACTATAGGGACCAGCCCTAGCCTTCTGCCATCTGGGTCCATCTCAGATTCCACTTGAGCTTTAAATACTGGGATCTTGTGCCTTCCAATATCCTGTCTCTTCATTTCTCCATGGTTTTCAGGAAAGCTCCAGAATTTTCATGCTGAAAAGAGCATTTTCTTCTGCTTGTCAAAGCAGGAATTGTTCATTTCCTTATGTTCAGTGTTTTGTCAAAAAGACATACCATCAGTTTTATTACCGAAGCAATAAAGCTACAATGCAGAAAGCATGGAAAGCAAAGATCTCCCATCTAGCTCCCACTGTCTTTATACTTTCTTTTATCTTCACTACTATAAGCACATTTTTCCTAACTGTAAACATAACATCAAATAGCCTAGCCCAGTCACTTTTTTTTTTTTTCACTTAATTTTATGTTCTAAGGGCTTTTTCATGTTTCCCATAACCATGGCTTCATGGTTCTCGACCAACTCAGCACACAGCAAACACATTAGCCCATTCAGCAAATGTCGGACATCTTGAGATTTCCAACCTTTGTTATTATAAAAGATAGCTGTAAAAGGATTTCCTTATACACAGTCTTTCCCTGTGCTTTGGACCAATTCCTAAGGATGCATTCCAATGTCTGGGATTTCAGCTCCAGGAGGGTATGAATGTTTTACTGGCTTGTGATGCTTACTGCCCAGCCACTTCCCACGAAGGAACAATCAAGACAGAGTGCCACCAGCAGGCATGGGTATGCCAGATGCCGCACGCCCTTGCCACCGAACACTGGTATTACAAAGTCAGTTTGTTAATCTAGCAGGTAAGGCATTACATGCTATGCAGAAATTCAAATTATGCATGAAGCTAAATATTTCCCCAGCTATGTGTCTGTTAGACGGCTCTCACATGTGTATGTTCTGGGCTCATTTGCTGTTGAAGACTCAGCGTTTCACTTTGCAGTCTCTGGACATGGTATAAGGGAGGTACTAACTGATGGCTTGTACAACTAGCCACATACTTCTGACTTTTAGACCCTTCCCCCAATCTGTTAGTCTCAGAAGCTACTGGGGCAGTGGGAGCAATCTGCCTGGGTATCCACAACAAGGGGGACACTGTCTCCAGTAAGTTTAAGGCCACAATAAAGCTAAGTAATAGTCGACCTGATTTTAATTATCACCACGTGTGGCAGAGTAAATCGATTCTCCCCAGGGCACTCCGCCCTCCTGGAGTGGCGCTGCTTTACACCCTCCTCACTCCAGGCAGCGGCTCCTGAAAGAGCACACGGTGCCACCCGCGGCTGCGGACTCCTCGGACACAGGAGCTTCGTGCAGCCGGGTTTCTACAAGGTCAAGAACAACAGGAAGCTTCTCTTACTAAGGCTGCTCATGGCGCAGCTTCCACGTGGTCCTGTGGATCTTGTAAACCTGCAGATTCCTGAGTCAGCAGGTCTGGGTGGGGCCCCAGATTCCACCGTTCTAACAAGTTGTTACATGATCTGACAGTGCTGGTCTGGGACTGAAGTGCAAAAGCTAAACCAGGCTGCAGGCCTGCCTCTCAGAGCAGCCCTTTGCCTTTTCCTGCTGTGCACTGAATCAAGGCTTCAGGGCCACAAAGCACTCACTGTGAGGCCCTCCTTCTGGGTTGGGAGGTGCTTATGGCTTACTGCACCACAACTGTGCTGAGCACAAGGCCACACTGAGGAAGCCCAGAGGCCTGCTCTCTCCACAGCTGGTCTCTTCACAGGGCTGCATGCTCTGGCACACGCAATCGCTTCCACCCTGAGGGTCTCCTGGGTTTGAAGCTGGGGCCTTCTCAGGCTACAGAGTAATTGTGCTGCACACCTCAGCCATGCTCTCTAGTCTCTATTCAAGACTTAAAAACCCTCTCGAGGGGAGGAGGCTGCCAGCCTGAGCTTTCAGAGGTCAGGTTCCATACCGAAACATGAGCAAGGAGGAGGGCAAGGAGCTGCCTGAACTCTTACCTGCTTTCTCTCAAGACTATTGCTGGAATGAAAACCTGGGCTGCAAATGGCCATGTCACCTAGCCCACATCCTCATTTCTCAAAATGCTGAATACAGCTGCCACTCTCTCCAGTGCCCAGACTGGTTTTATAATGCTTTACTGTAACATGGCTACTTCATCCCTTTCTTTACCTGCTGCAAAGGCAAGGTAGCTGCCTTTTTTGAGCCTTTTAAAAGCTAAAAACCTAAAACGCCACTTACAGAGCCTTCACACAAAATGCTGGCTATCCAGAATCATTTCATCCTTCCAGGCCCAGATGGAGGCAAGTGCATCAGCTCCCATACTCAGCACCCAGACACCTCCTAGCCTCCGCCACATGGGCCCTGCCGCTGTGATGTGGAATGCTGGGCAGTGGAAACGGGGATGCCCTGACTTAGCTCTGCTAAGGAACCAGGGAGTACTGCATGCCAAGTTCAGAGCAGTTGCCTGAACCAACTCAGGTACACAGACATGGAGCTGCTGTCTTCCCATGCTGGGACAGCCTCAGCTTCCAATACTGAAAGGCACCTGAGGCGCCACAGGGTGCTCGGTCTCTAGTAAGGACAATTCTTCAAAGAAAAGGGGAAGGGGAACAAAAAACCTTTCCCTACCCCCTTCTCTGAGGCTGTATACCCAGGAGGTAGACCGATGACCTGCCTTGGAGCTGGGACAAGGCCAGAAGACAGCACTCATGGGACATAGACTCGACCTAGGTAGCCAAGACTCTTTGGGTTTACCCCAGAAGCTGTGAGACGTTACATATATCCAACAAAAACTGTAAGAAGAGAGTAAAGGAGCACAAGCATCAGAAATGAGAACCAAGAATTTATCCTGTATTAAGATGCAAACAGGATCTTGAGAGATATGGTGTGGGCAGCTGCTGAAGCACTCTGAAGTGAGCTGCATTTGAAACCTCCCCTCTCCCCTGTGCAGCAGAGTGAGCGTGGGCCGGCTAATTAACCACCCTCTGTCCTCAGGAATGTGGTCATGACTGCATGAAGTCATGTGTGTATATAGATTCTTTGGGATTTGGCAAAGCATGAGGACTCGGCAAGCCAAAGTGGTCCATCCGCGCTGGGCAGCGGAGCCAGCCGGTTAACCAGAGGCCAGTGCAGAGTGGACAGGACCTCCCCACCGGCATGCACAGAGAAGCCAGGCCACAAGTGACGGCAGCCCTCTCCCTTTGCCCAGGCCAGATCTGCGCCCTCTTCCAGTACTTAGCCCGTACGGCAGCGGGGCCGATGAGAGTCACAGACTGCGCCTGGCTGCAATGCGCTGGACTCGCTGTCCTGAGCTCCCTGGTGAATGACCAGAGATCTTCACGTAAGTATTGCCTTAAAGATAAGCTCCATTTCACCTTCTTTAAATGATTTGTCTAGGTTTTTATTTGTAGAACATATTCTAAGCTTAGGAAAGCTGAGTGCTGACTCTGCAGCGACCCAATGATGAACAACCCTGCCAGTACATTCTCTGTGTAACAGTTAATTCTGCTTGTTAATGAGACTGGGTGTGTCTGTGAAGGGGTTTCTGGAGATGGTGGATGGCACAACAGCAGGGAGCAAGACCTGTCCTGAGTGTAAGCAGTACCATCCAGCGGGCTGGGGGCCAGCCACATGGAAGCAAGAGGAGGAGGAAGCCTGTAATCCCAGACTCGGGACGGAGGCAAGCAGAGCTCTGTTTTGCCAGCATGGTCTACAGAGTGAATTCCAAGGCAGCGAGGCTACACAGTGAGACCCTGTCTTAAAAAAAAAAAAAAAAAAAAAAAAAGAAGAAGAAGAAGAATGAGGAAGAGGAAGGAGGTAGAAGAAAAGGGAAGCAGAAAAAGCAGCAGCAGCAGCAGGAGCAGCCAGCAAGCCAGCCAAGTTCTATTCCTCCTGGGCGAGTGAGGCTACTGCTGCTACCCACTACAGACACCAGAGCAGCTTCTTCAGCCTTCAGCACACAGATCTCCAGGGGGCTTCCAGACCTCGCTGTGGACTATGACTGCATCATGAACTGAACAGCTGATAAATTCTCTGATATGCAGATGACAACTAAACCACCTAGGCTCCAATCATGCAAGCCAATTTAATTGTCCCCTCTTATATTTATGACGTAGTCTATTGGTTCTGTTCCCGTAGAGAACTCTGATTAACATACACTCAGCCATACAGCCTTTGGATACTTCGAGTGGTGACTCTCCCTTCTAATTACCTTGATCTTGATCCTTCATTGTCAACAGTCTTTTTTTTTTTTTTTTTTTTTTTAGTTTTTATTTGTCTTTTTTGAGACAGGGTTTCTCTGTGTAGCCTTGGCTGTCCTGTACTCGCTTTGCAGACCAGGCTCGCCCGAAACTCACAGAGGTCTGCCTGCCTCTGCCTCCCCAAGTGCTGGGATTATAGGCATGCACCACCATGCCTGGCTCACTGTCAGCAAGCTTTATTGGAAAAGTATTTCTATAGAACTGAAATTTGGATTAGGGTTAGATCATGAATGCAAGACATTCATGATCTGCTCTAGCTGTAACTCCCAGCTAAATTATCCCAAACTCATACTATGGTTCTATTACCTTCCAACAATAGTAATAATCAAACAGCAAAGGAGTATGATATACAGCAAATCCATGAACTCAGTATCTTACTGATTATAGAAAAGTCATTTCCTGAACATTGTAATTAGTACCACTGAGAGGAAAAACCAAAGTGTTCCTTTTTGCAAACTCCTGTACCTTACAGATGACAAGAATGGAAGCCTCTTCTAGGTAATAAATTACTGAGGATTTGTGCATGAGATCCCACCTGGCTTCCTGTGCCTTCTCGTTCACACACACCCCTACAAACCTTGTCACACAGTTCCTCTTCTGACACATATCTGTGCTTGCCTCCCACATGCCAGGCCCTGGGCTGCTGAGAACCAGGCCCTTTCAGAAGGCGGCACTCCAGGCTCAGCATGCTTGTGGGCGCCCCGAGTGTCCATACCTGACTGATGGTCTTCTCCATCTGCACCAAGCCCAGGTTGGGGAGTGTGTTCTTTATGAAGTCCACTATGGTTTCCAGGTTTTCATGCTGCAGAATCAAGGGCTTATGGCTCCCCAAGAGACTTAAGGCCACTTTAAATATGACCTCTGACCCCTGAAGGAAGATCATATCTAAGAAGACACAGAAATATAGAGTTAAGCCCTGCCAGTCACTGGTGAGATAACTTCCGTTTTCTCTTCCTCATATCATGGAACACAGGGTGGGAAACATAAGCCCAAGTTACAACTTGCATTTCCTTCTTAAGAGCTTGATGTTTCAGACAGAGTTGTTGAGACAATATTGCAAGTGATATTAAAAAACAAAAGATAAGTATATGGCTTGAGTTTTGTCACAGGTTCAGATAATTCTTTTCTACTCTGAACATCAATTAAATTTAAGAGAGTATCAAAGATTGAGAAAATCTTTATCAATTTATAATTTTTTTCTAGGAATGCTCTAGATTTTAAAGGAGTTACTAAAACATTTAAAAAGCAGCTTTTGTGTATGTGTGTTTGTATATGCGCATACACATCTATACACCTGTGTCCATTCATGGAGGTCTCTTTACTCCTCTCATATTCCTTTGAGGCAGGGTCTCTCTCTAAACCCCAGGCTCATGTTTTCCTGTCTAGGCTGGAAGCCGGCATGCTCCAGAATTCCTCCTGTCTCAGTCTCATTCAGGGCTAGGGTTACAGGCAAGTACTAGAGGCCCAGATTGTTACTGTGGCCCTCATGACTGCAGAACAAAAGCTTTTAACTACCAAGCCATTTCTAAGACATCCAGCCACTAAGCCATGTTTCAATTAGTAAAGGCAAAAGATTGTTACAGACAGGAAAGTATATTTTCAAATAAAAGGTAGAACGAAAAGATGCTTAAAGCCTTTAACAGGCCTACAAATTGTAAAAGCACACTGAACTTCATCATAATAATGGAGCCAAGAGGCGTTCTTCTGTCTGAGGAGTTTCAAGTTGGGTGAGGATACTCTCTCTAGTTCTTGCTGTGTTTTTTCATAATCGCTGGCAAATCACAGCAATTCCTATACTGAATTTATACAGTAGGATGAGGCAGGCAAGTGCACAAGGCATCAGGTAGAGCAGTCATTCTCATCATCTGCCCCTTTCTCCTGGAATTGGAGCCTTTACTAAATGAGTATCAGTGTCCTGGGCTAAAGCACAGAGAGGGAAACTGGTTATTGGGTGACTCAACTCGGGCAACTCTGACCTAGTAACTGGAATAAAGTTAAAAAAAATAAGAAAAAAGTTAAAAACAGAAGTATGAATATAGGTAGGGCCAATCAATCTCAATTTCTCTCCCTCTCTGATACCCTCTATCCCACCCTTGACTGCAATATAGTGGAGAAAAAAAAAGATGAAGAAATGGAAACTGTCTAGCCACAGAAATCAAGGCAATCAAAAGCACCTCAGGGGAAGAATCCCAAAGAGGCTTTTCCATGTGGGTCAGAATAACAGCATGTAAAACCTGTCTGCAAACTGGAGCAGAAAGGCTGGACACTCGTGCCCAGGAGGGCGAACGCCTGATCTGTCTACTCAGCAGCTAAGCTCTCAAGCTGAAACTTTCGCCAAGTTGTTGAGCACGTGAATGGAGCTGGTGCCGACTGTGATGCCTGTGCTGGGAGGTGAGGGCAGCAGGCACAGCCTATAGCTGAGGACCGCAGCGAGTCCTCGGCTGCTGCAGGGTGAGCCCAGCGATGGGATGACCTGCCTCCTTCTTAGAAGTGGTTGTTGAAGCTCAGACAATAACTCAGAGACATAGGTATGTCTTCAAGATTTGAGTGGTTTAGAGAAAGTGTATACACACCAAGGCAGTCATACTGGAGACTTCCTGTGACATGCCTAGTTTGTGGAAAATACACCTATGTGTAAATCCCACCACTGTAGAAAATGAGAAGATGGAGAATAGTGGTACAAGGTTTATGTATTTGTGTGTGTGTGTTGCACACATGTCTGAAGAGGCCAAAATGGGGCATCAAATCCACTGGAGCTGAGTTACAGGAGGTTGTGAACTTCCTGACGTGGGTGCTGGAAACTAAGCTCAGGTCCTCTAGAGCTTTCTTCACTGCTGAGACATCTCTCCAACTCTTACAGGATGTATTTTAAACAGAAAGGTTTTTTTTGTTTTGTTTTGTTTTTTTTTTGTTGTTGTTGTTAAAAAAAAAGCGAACAAAATGATAAAGTTTTATTTATTCTGAAAAACTTTAAACCTAATTTTGAATAATTGTAAAAAAATGTTACCTATAATCCAGACCCACTGTGCAAGCCAACTCTTTCTATTTTGTTCATCTTCACATGCTCACACATCTGTAGTCAGGAATTAAAAACAAAACAACAAGAAACAGCATAACTGATAGGGACGGCTGGGTGGGTGGGGAGGTCCTGCAGGGCCCTGCAGCTGAGCTCCGGCACAGCTGCCCATTTCCTTTTGGACTCTGTCTTCTCTTCATTTTCAAGCCACTCGCAAACAGGCAGGCGTGGGGGGAACCTTGAGTCCAGAGGATCCTACTGCAACGCGTGTTACCCGCAGAGAACAATACAAATAAGATGGTTCCCTGGCTGAAGGACACCTCTCATTTCCTACTTTATTTCCACCCTAAAGCTTCTGTGCTTGGGTCAAGCCCCCAGTCTCATGCTCCACTTCCCCTTCATCAACTCAGCAGGGCAGTCTACAGGATGACACCGGAGGCCAACCCTGCAGTCTGCCTCCTCCAGCAAGAAAGCCAGTTCCTGTTTCTCCCACAGGCAGATATGGCCAGAAGGTGAACAGAACAAACATCATATTTATGTGCCTGTGTGTGGTATGTATATGTATGTACAGGTGCTTGTGGGGGCCAGAGTGGGCATCGGATCCCCTGGGAACTGGAGTTTTAGCCAGTTTTGAGCTGCCTGATATGGGAGCTGGAAACCTCTGGAAGAACACTACGTGCTCTTGACCTCAGCAGGAGAGCAAGCATTTCTTGCAAGGTTCCTGCTCCACTCAAACAGAGCATGTAGCACCACACATCCACCGGTGTGGGCGCCGTGAGGTCGAGGCACACACACCGCAGAAGCTGCCCTCTCCAGCAGCATGCTCTTCCTTGTGGAGACTTATGGGAGCTGTGCTGGTACAGGCTGGGAATGCTCTTGCATTAACTAATTAACTTACTATACTTGTATGTGTGCCATGGCACTCATGGAAAGGTCAGAGACAAGATGCAGGAGTCAGTCTCTCCTTCCACCATGTGGGCTCTGGGGGCAGAACTCATGTCATCAGATTGGGCAATGAAAACCCTTAGCTGCTGAGTTATCTTGCTGATCTTGCAAACTGGAAATCTTCTACTCATGTGCAAAAAATAGAAAATCATCAACAAAGTTTCATTTACTTTGGGATTTATGTAGATTTAAAGGCTTATAGTAAAAAGGTCCCATGTCAGAAAGGCCCAAGAGCCTGAACAGGAAGAACATGTAACTAAACTATTGACCAGCATGGAGCTCAACAAGCAGGCTTAGTCACCACTGCTACAAATGGAAATGGCTTTGAAGAGTTTACCTTTCCAGGGGAACCAGCTGAGGTGGACTATGCAAAAGCACCGAGTATAATGTCATAGCACAGAGCCTGCCTTGGGACCCTGCCTCTGTCTGCACTCCCAGGAGCCCTCATTAGTCAGACAGGAACCCGAAGTGCAGCAGGGAGCTGTGGGATCCAAGCATTTTGCAGGCATTGGCATCTTTAGGCACACTGTATATAAAACTCGAAGACTCATCACTCCTTCAGAGGAAAACATCCTGTCTGAACTGGTTTCAGCTTTTATTATTAGAATTGAAGTCACGAGAATATGCTGCACAGAGCTCCAAATGAGTCTGCAAGCAGAAAGGCTCTCATCTCCAGGGAGGAGGCTGCTTGTTTTCCCATGTCCTTCACCAGCCCACACAGCCTACGACTGCTCTCCAAGAGCCAAGGTGGCAGCCCGGCTTTGGCTCCGGGCAGGAGTGTCACTCATCCCTTGTGGCCTGGTCTGTGGTCAGCCCAGCTCCCAGGGCAGAGTTCCCCCCAAACCATGGCATTCAACTTTTTAGCTGTTTTCAGACTATTAACAACCAGCTCTCCCTGTCCCCTGCGCAGTGCTAGTCCTCACATGACCCACAGAACTAAAGGATTAAGAAAGGGTTAAGAGAAATATGGGTGGAGGATTTTCCCCTATTTTCAAAGTATAGGAAACAAAACTCAGAAGTTCCTGGCTGGAAAGATGAAGCCACATCTTTTGTCATACAGCAAGCATCCAGTTTGTGAGGCTTGTTTGTCTTTTGAGACAGGGTTTCTCTGTGTAGCTTTGGCTGTTGTCCTGGAATCATTTTGTAGACCTGGCTGGCCTCGAACCCACAGCGATCTGCCTGCCTCTGCCTCTGAGTAGCTAAACGTCATGAAATCTCCTAATTTGCTTTTACTCTCTAGCTTACTTTAGTCAATCAATCTGGGGAGAGTACAGAAGAGAGGGTCATGAACATTTGAAGAATAAAAATTCCTGTCATAGAGGGAGAGTCTTCGGACAGACAGACAGACAGACAGAAGGAAATAACAGTAATAGCCCAGCATTGCGTTGGCAGGAGAATGAAGAAGAAAGGAAGCCAACTTATTTAGACTCAAAGCCAAGTGTTGAGGGCTGCATAGATGGCTCAGTGGTTAAGAGCGCTTTCTACTGCTCCAGAGGACCCATGTTCAGTTCCTAGCACCCATGTCAGGCAGCTCACACTATCTTTAGATACAGTTCCAAAGGACAGGGTATTCTTCTGGCCTCTTGGACACGCACACATATATGGCATAAACTCACAGGCACACACATATACTCATAAATAAATAATGAATGAATGAGCAAATAAATAAATGAAACAAAAACAGGTTTTGGCATTTTCAGAATTTAGAATAATGTCTATTCAAAAGTATGTGCAAAATAGAGTGCAATCCAGGCTTCTGAGAAGTCCTGTGAGACGCTCTTGAGGGGCTGGCAAGACAGTAAGCACTTGCCATGTCAGTGTGAGAACTGGGTTTGGAACCCTAGTACCCACACAGAAACGGCATCACGGCACAAGCCAATACTTCCAGTTCTGGACAGGTAGGACCAGGAGGCTGCTTGGGACTGGCCAGCCAATCAATGCTCAAGAAATAGCACGGGAGGAACAATAGAAGATACTGACATCATTCTCTGGCTACCACATGTATGAGCATGCACACTCTCACACACACCCTCTCTGGTTCCAAAATTAATCTTTAAAGTGTGAAATTACACGTGTATAAATGTAGAATAGGTGACTAATGGTGCGGTGCAGGATCTGACCTACACTCACAAGGTGAGGGCTCCCAGGCCAGGCCCAGGGTATCAGAGATGACGCAGGACTTGAAAGTCTCCAAACCAAGTCTGATAACCAGGCAAACTTTCATAGGGGCGAAAAATGCTGCCTAATGACAGAGAATGCTGGCCGGCAGATAGGCAGGGGAGCTCACCGAAGACTCTGGCTACAAAGCCAAGTGGGAACTGTGAGGCGAAGACGGTGAGAAACCAGGGAGCTGCGTAGAGGCTGGGGCCGATCTCGTGCTCCTCCAGGTGGTTGTAGAGGTCTCTGTGGTAGTCGTGGAGGAGCCGCGACAGCTGGTACATCTGGATCTGCAGGAACACATGTCAACAGGGCTGGCAATGGGGACTGACTACAGGTGTGGACTTGCTCATCTCATGGGGCGGGAGGGATTCTCAGCCTTGTTGATGCTGTTTGGCTTACGGTATTCACTGGCCTGAGTAGTGCCTCCAACCAGAACTTCCAGGGAACAGGCTCGCACGAGGTCAGTGGGAGAGGACAGAATGCTAACGCTGGGTCTGCCTCCACTTCCGTCATCATCCCCTTGTGCTCCTTGGCAAAGGGACTCTAAATGTCTGCCTATGCAAACACCTAAAAAATTCCTTTACAAATACGCATTCTTAGGAGTGAACCAAAGGCACCTTTACATTGTTCCAGAGAGTAAGCCCACTGTCCATGCTCAACAGTCCATTCCTCTGGACTCCCAAAATCACTCCACAGGCAGAGCGAGTCTAATTTCTTTAGGTTTATAACATAGAAACACATAGATTCCAAACAACTTAAAACAAGAAACGTTTGTCTTAATATGAATAAGATGACTTTTCAAGCTAGCGTTTGACTGAAAGGTCAAAGGCTGCTTCTTCAGAGAATGCTACTGCATGGGCAGGAAGCTTACTCCAGTTCTGTGTAGCCTGTGGCTTACACAGGTCCTCAACCAGCTTAGAGCAGCTCATCTCTGGGCCTAAAAACAACCCAGAGAAGGCCAGAAATGGACAAGCCGCTCTGGTTGCATATGGACATCTGAAACCAGGGAAAGTGAAATACACGTAAGCTCTCACGGACTTAGACCTAAGTTTTCTTCAGTACCCACCACAGCTTCTGAATCTAGCCGTCTACTCCCCCTGAGGCATGAGAAAGCTCACAGAGTATATGCCCAGTGCCATAAGCCGAGCACTCCTCTCTGGTGATGCTGCCACATGGTGGAGGGGAGCAGAAGGGGCCCAGCTGTGGGAGTCAACTCTTGCAGTGGCTTCACGTTCATACAGATCAAACTTACAGCAAGAGCCAAATGGACTTTTAATAACACATACGGGAATTTTCAAACGAAGTCCTAAGCTCTAATGGTACATTCTAAAGCCCTGAAGTTTTATAGAACCCTGCTGGAAAATGGATGAATGAACATATCCCCCCACAGGTAAGCAATGCTTAGCACCACTCCCAGGTCCTGGCCCAGAGCCTTTTCCACCTCTGGAAAGCAGCAAGCACAACACATGACCGGCTGGGTACACTGTTGTCTGGTTTTCCTCCTTCCTTCTCTTCCCTCACGACCCCTGCCTGGAAGCTAGGGCTAGAACCCAGGACTTCACCACTGAACTGAGAAACACTCAACCACATCCCTAGACTTTTTTAATTTGTTTTTGGGACAGGGCTTCACTATATAGCTCCGACCAAACTGTATAGGACAGGACAGACAGCCTACAAACTTCAGATTCCTCTGCCTTTGCCTCCTAACAGTGGAGCCCAGCCTGCTTTCCTTTTAACAAACTTGTTCATTTATCAAATACCAACAGGGTTTCTATTCTGTTCCAGGCACTAGAAACTACAGGCTTAACTCAACCAAACCTTCTCCCATTGAGGGATTCAGGACACGAGAAGATCGGAAGTAAATAACTAGGGTGACTTAGGGCAGAAAATGTGTTGTCTTGCAGGCAGGAGATAGGGTAGCATGAAATGCTGTGTCCAGGGGAAGTGAGGAGGCCCAGTGTTAACACAGGCAGGGAGAACTTCTGTGATAAGTACATGCTGGATGGCAGGGATGGAGAGAGGATCCCAGGCAGAAAATAGAGCAGACCACAGGCTTGGAGACACCAGTTACATTGCTAGGAGGCTAAAGGAAGAGATAGGAGTTACAGTCCTAGAGCCAGACAGGCCTGGCTTTAAGTCCCCCTCAGTCACTGGCTAGCTGTGTGCCTTGGACCAACTTCATAATCCAGTCGAGCCTCAGTTTTCCTGTCTACGGGCTGGGCCAATTAGCAGCATCATCCTGAGAGCAGGGCGGGAAGCACACAGAGCAGCGCCTAACACAGTAAGTCATCAGTGCGCGAGCCTAGATCCAATGCAAGAGGTGCAGCGCACACCTCCAGCATCTTTTTATTTACATCACAGGGATACTCGGTACCTGTAAAATAATCATGTCTGGCCGATACTGTTTCCGCAGCCCCATGTCAAACATCAAGAACTTGAGCATCTTGAACGCCTCCTCCTCACTCATATGAAGAAGCAGAATGCCTGCCACAAAGCTGAGACCTTGGCAGTATCCTACTTCCTGGTCCAGGAGCGAGTAGGCCTTCAGAATGTTGTACAGTGACAGCTGGCCTGCTCCAAGCTGGGCAGAGAAGTATGGGTGCGTTGGAAAGGTTCGCCCTGGGGAGAGAGTGCAGGTCAGTGCAGCATACGAGAGGCCCGCCGAGCCAGAAACGCAGGGCGCTTTAGTCTTAAGAAAGAGACCTTCAAGGGATGGGTCCTAACACCAGTGTGTCTTTGGTACCGCCTCTGCGAATGTGTTCAGCTGGGGGGGCGGTGTCCTAGGATAATATTTTCAATGAAAACCAGCAAGTTTAGTTTGTTTATTTGTTTTGGAGAGCAGGTCTCAGTTTCGTGGCTCTGCTGGCCTGGCACTCGCTGTGTGGACCAGGCTGGCCTCTAAGTCCTCTCCCTTCCACATGCAATTAAAAGTGTGCACCAGCATGGCCAGGGACTTTCTGTTTGTCTGTTTGCTTGTCTCCCGCTCTCCGCCCCCCCCCCCCCCAGGGTTTTTCTGTGTAAAGAGCCCTGTGCTACCATACCTGGCTTGCAACTTTTTTTTTTTTTAAAGTGGTGGTTTAGGCAAAAGAAATTATAACTACCTTTAGGTCTAGTAAGTGTATGTTTTTCAATCAAAAACAAGAAAGCTTCCAGGCATGGTTGCACATTCAGGAAAGGCAGAGGCAGGTGGATCTTTTTAAGTTCGAGGCCAGCTGGGTCTACAGAGTGAGTTCCAGGACAGCCAAGGCTACACAGAGAAACCCTGTCTTGAAAAACGAAAAACCAACCAAATAAACAACCCCAAACAACAAACAAAAATAAAACCAAGAAAGCTGCTGGTCCCGACACCAGAACCTCACTTCCCAGGAGCACAGGACTAGACATCAATGCTAGCCCATGTCAGTCCAATGCTGTGACGGATCCTTCCCAGCAGCTTTTCCAGACCGGGAGCTCTGCCCACAAGTTCTCACCACAGGACTCTTGCACACCTTTAAGCCACAGGCTGCGACCTGAGACAGGCCAAGGAACAGTAGGTGTTTCACACAGCGACCTTCTGGAAAGGGGTAAAAATGGGTCTTAACATCATAATTATTCCCACAAAGTTGGTATCAAAAAAAAAAAAAAAGAAAGAAAAAAAAAAGACATGAGTCAGCAAGAGGGCTCAGTGGGTCGTGCGGGCACTTGCTCTCAAGCTGACAACTTGAGTTTGCTCTCAAGGACCCATATGGTAGAAGAGGAAAACTAACGCGCACAAGTTGTCCTCCAGTCAACACGTGCGCTATGGCACAGGCGTGCACACAGACCCAATAAATAAAACTGCCCAAAATGCAAGTTTAAAAGGTGGCACTTTTTCTTCTTTCTTTTTTGTCTTGTTTCACTCAGGTGGCTTTTATTGCTGATGTCTGCCAAAGTGGCAGATGGAAAAAAAGAACAGGAAGGTGCCTAGTTAAGGGCAGAGGTGCACGGGCCCAGCCTGGACGCAGGCAGGAACCATGGCCTGGCTGGTCAGCAGGCAGCAGGTACATCTGGGCCCCAGTAACTGCTAGCGTAGTCACTGAACAGCCTCGGGAGGGCAGAGGATGCACCCACAGGTTCACTGTCTGTTTCCTTAGAGAGGTTTTGGTTCATCTCGTCCCCACTTGATTTTAAGAAGACAGCCACAGGCTCCTGCTTTGCTCCATGCTCCCTCTTTGCCATGCTACTCCTTCCTCTAACGTAGCTCCCCCAATCCTCTGTACACACGCCACCTCCTGCCAGGCGGAGTGAGCGGCAGTGCCCACAGCGCAAACACTCCCTCCACTAACTTGGAATATGCATACTCATTTCCACCTCCGCATTTGTGCTCCAGGCTGGGTGGAGGCCTCTGGGCGAGAAGTCCTGGGGCCTCTCGCTCTCGCTCTCGCGTGGCTGCACAAAGCACTGGAAGTGTGCGCATGTCACTGAGTTCCAGTGGGCTCTTTCGAATGACAGCAGACCTTAGTGACTCAGCAGCCACTTTAGGCTTCGGTATTGAACAGAGCAAGAGCACCGTTTTCCTCAGATTGTCAAAACCAGGTAGCATCCCTCTCATTCCATCCCCTCACCAGCTCCCAGGTAAACAGAACAAATCTTGCCTGACAGTCCTTCCCAGCATGAATATTCCTCTTCCTTACTTTTAAAAATTATTTACTTATTTATTGGGTGAGTCAAAGGTACACATCTCTCACATGTGACAGTCAGAGAACAACCTGGAGGAGTCAGTTCTCTCCACCTTGTAGGTTCTGGCTCTCAGGTTGCCAGGCAGGCGTTGAGGCAAGCTGAGCCATCTCACATTCTGCCATTCTTCCAGCCCTGTGCTTCTCCATGACAGCCAGAGGATCCCGGGGGCCTATGAAGCCTGTTTAGAGTTCATGACGTCCACCATTCTTTTTTCAACTACAGATCTGTATAAAGCCAGCCTTTTTTTTGTTTACTTCAAAGACTATAACTACAGCAGACTAGATAAAGGAATATGATAATCTGGTTGATCCTATTAAATAAGCTATGGAAGATGTTTTTAAAACTACAATATAATGTCACAGTTATCTCTGATTTTGTTTTAGAAAATAGTTATTTTTCATTTTAGGTTTATATGGTGAGTTTATTATGGTTACTTTTAAAACTTAAGTATTTTTAACTTTGTCAGTTTTAATTTCCAATGCAGTAAAAACTAATACAACATTTTCCATATAAGTCAAAGCTCTTTGGGCTACTCCATTTTGAAAAAGGGATCCTGACCTCCCAAGTTAGGAAAACACTTGTTCTAGGCAAACAGTTTATTCACCTTCCAGGAAGAAAGGCAGGAAGACAAGAAAGGCAGGCTGCTGAGGAGAGAACGGACTACTTGGATTAAGAGTGTTCCCTGGACAGCCCACTCTCACGTAGCCAGTGCTGGTATGGCAGTCCTCCAGTCACAGTCAGAGGGCTGGAGGGGATCCTATCTCAGGAGACCTTATGAAAGGCCCCAATCAACTAGGGCCCTGTGTGACGTGTCTCCAAGGGCATGTCAGCCCGACATCCTCACTGCTCACCCAAAGCTGGTGACTACGGACAAAACACTGCCAGCTGTTTATTAGACTGGTCCAGACTTAGGGAATAATAAGCTGAAGGTCCAGGGCCAAATCTCTTCTGCAACAAACCAGGCAGAACAAGCCCTAGGCACAGCACCTAACTCCACGACTGGGTCTGGGCCAGCGACCAGGCTTTCTGGTTCCCCTAGGGACAAACCCTGGTGCTGGTGGGGTCCCTGGATAAGTGCTGTGAGCCTGGTGGAGGTAACTTGGAACATGGATCACTGCAAATAGAGATTCTTCAAGCCCTTGGGAAGATGTCTGGAGGTCATCCAAAGTGGAGGCCAGGCCAGCACTGGGCCAGAGGTGAGGAAAGAGAAGGGTCAACAAAGTGGGGGATGGGTGCAGCTGGCCTTGGGAGAAGAAGGGAGAGGGTGGGGCTGAATAGGGACAGAGAGGATGTGAATCAGGCTGTTTTCTAGGGGAGAGGCCACTGAGCTGGGGTTCAGATAAACACTCCTTCCTAAGGAGAGGCTAGTGGGGAGGAGGGGGAGGGGCTCATGGACAATCTGCACTTCATTCTCTTTCTGCAGAAAAGATGGCATTCAAGCAGTCAGAGGGCGACAGGGGGCTGACCATGTCCAGGAAGAGTAAGGGCTATGCAGACAGGAAGCCAATGAAACAAAATGCAAAACAGGGAGTGAAATCTCTGTTTCTTTCCTCCTCCCATGCTATGGAGGAGTAGGGAAAGCAGGAGAGAGGTCTGTCTCTCCCTTCCCACTTCTACCCCTAGTTCTGACTTCAGCTCGCTTTACATAGCAGGAACATGATGCCACTGCTTGTGTTACTGACCACAGGAACAAATCCAGCTCCTGCCAATGTACAAGCTGCCACCCTCAAGGTCACTGGGCCAGATGGGCTGGAGGCCCGCCATGCCCATCAGCATCACTCTTCACCTGCCCAGGACTAGCATTTCCTTAGCAACATGGAGCCTGCTGGGCTTAGAAGTCTAAGGGATAGCAGAATGATGGTGGGTAGGTCCCAGAACCTCTGCTCTGATGACCATGGGCCTTGATTGCTTGGTGCCTCTGTTTCCTCATTTCTTAGGCTAGAGGATCAGTTTCCCAGAGAAGCTATGGAAGGTGTGTGAGAGCGAAGTGCCTCACAATCAACATGGCAGAAAGAAACGCCCAGTACCTACGATTTGTCGAGGGCCGTCCTTGGTGTTGAGAGTATGCTGTAACGCAGCCCATGGAGGGCTGCATCCTACCAAGCAGAACAAGGGGCGAGGAGGGGACAAACACAGTTCTCATGTCACACTGCTCATTGGCAAATTAGTTACAAAGGCTGGAACATTTACATAACCCCTCTGTGCACTTATCTATGTTCTGTGCTGTGAAAATTAAAAGACGTGGGTTGAGTAACTTCATGCGACATTCAACTCAAGGCAGAGTATTAGCATTAAATAATAATCACCACAGTGGTGAGGACCAGGGAAGAAAGTGTGGGATGGGAAGGGTGGGCCTGGCATGGCCACCTTACCCTCAGCCTGTCTGTGGAGAAGCTAAAGTCAGGGACAGTTCCGGAAGACGACATTTAAAGCCAGCACTGCAGAGCAGCCTGGAGACAACTGTGAAAGCATGAGGTTACTGTGTGTGGCTTGTAACTCTGACCCTTCCTGACCCAGCTCTCCTTCTCCACTGTGGCTGCATCAAATGGATGTACCCACAGAACGGGGCCACTGCAGTGCCCTGAGCAAAGACGGGGGGGGGGGGCAGCCAGCCTCCAGACTGGCATTCTGAGCAGGACCACATGCTCCACCGGTAGCCTATGAACAAGGCCATGAGCCAGCCCCACAGCAGAGACAGGCCTTGTGAGCAGGAAGAGGAGGCTCCATCCCTGCTTAGCCCTGCAGTCAGAGGGCCTCTTGGCCAACACAATTTTATCCTAAGTCGTCGAGGTCTTCCCACGCAGCTGCATACCCAATACTGTTTCCTTTTTCTGTTGTCAAAGCTATTCCAGAATCAAGGCACTGCCACTTTCCAAGACGAAGCTGCAAACAGCTGTCTACAAATCTTCTGACAGGCTCTGTTTGCACACCACAGTCCAGAGAATGCGTCTAAAACTAAACCACGCTAGTGTGTTTCACCTGGAACTGATCCAAGCCAAAGGGTTTCCCAGGATGCTCCTTCAGCGTACTGTACACCGCCCCTTGGAAAGGTGAATTACTGAACTGAGCCAGAATTATGTTTCAATGAGCAGCCGTAATGACCATTACACCTCCCCACACCCCACAACACGCCAAGCAGAACAAGCAGCCACCATGCAAAAGGGGCATGCTTATGCTCTCAGAGGCCATCTGCGCGCACTCCAGGTCCTGGCGTTCAGTTCCGGGCCGATCACCCACTGAGCAGGACGCCTCTCCAGACTTGTGCAGTGGATGGGCAGACTCACCAAGGTCGATGAGGATGGCATGCTGCTGCGAGGTTAGCTTCTTCAACAGCTCTTTGTAGGGCACATCCTTGGGCTGCTGTTTACTGGGAAATGGATGTTTAAGGTGGAACTGCTCAGCTAGAAACTTCCAGATCTCACCCCGGTGATGACGAGGCACACCTTTAACAGAGCAGAAAACATTAAACCAGATGTTACGCACAGAATTTAGATTAGTGATTAAAAAAAAAAAATGAGTTGTCGCCTTTTTTTTTCTTTCTTTCTTTTGTTATTTGTTTTGCTATTGTTCAAGACAGAGTTTCTCTTCTCTGTGTAGCCTTGGCTGTCCTGGACTCTAGTTGTAGACCAAGGTGGCCTTGAACTCACAGAGCTCCTCCCGCCTCTGCCTCCCTGTGATCCTCCTGGGATTATAGGCAGGTACCACTGCACCTGGCTAGATATGTCCTTTTCCATTGCTGCACATTCTTCCTGTGTGCGAACACGTGCAGGGACACGTGAGTATGGTGCTCATGGACTCGGGGGCACAAGCTCAGGTGCTGTTCCTCGGGAACACCACAGACTTTAGCTAGGCAGAGACAGGGTCACTCACCAGCTGCATTCCCCGTGTAGGCTCGACTGGCCACTGAGCCCCAGGGGCCTGCGGCTGGGCCTCCCTACACCGGGCTTTCAAGCACGCCCAGTCCCTCGAAGCTTTTTACTCGGGTTCTGGAAAACAGCCCGAGGTCCTCACACGTGCAGAGCAGGCACCTGACTCACTGTGCCAGCCCCTAGCCGACGATTATACAGCCATGTTCCAGGATGAATCACTGCACAGGAAGTAACGGAAGTGCTGCATCCCCCCCCCCTCCAGCCATCCCTCTGACAGCTAACTGTACCCCTGCCCCGGGCCCTGTGTCTCTTGCCTTGCACTTTTCAAAAGATACATCATGATCTGGCGAGGTCAGACTCTGCGAAGGACGAAACTATGAGCATGCAGCAATCCTGATCTGGCCTACCTGAAGCCAACAAACAACGCTTTAAGGAAATGAATGCAAACAGCAAATGTCTCAGAAAGGAAGAGAAACAAAGTGAGGCCAGGCTCCGGTGAAGGAGAGCTGGCTCTGTGCATCTCAGCAACCAGGACCTCACAGCCTTCCTCATGCAAGCCAAACACGAATACATTCTCATTCCCATTTTTCTCCCCAGCTTTTAAAAATGTTTCCTACAATACATTTTGATCATATTCTTCCCCTCCAACTCCTCGCGACAGCTCCCCACTTCCCCAACTTCATGTTCTTTCTCTCTCAAAGTACAACACCCCTCTGAAATACAAGAGAAAACAATAAGACCCAAACTCAATACAAGCAAACAGAAAGCGTGCAGGCACACATGCACACACATACCCCAACATCATGAAGTCTATTTTGTGTTGGTCAGTTGCTGCTAAGCACAGGCCTACTCTGGATTTGACTGGTATACCATTGGAGAAAACGGATTTCTCCCTGTGCCAGAGCCCATCAACTGCAAAGGGCATCTTGGTTAGACATGGGACTTCGTGTCCACTTTCCCGTTCTAAAACTGGAATTTTGTTATGACTTGAACTTGTGCAGGTCCTGAAATTTTTTTTAAAGAAAAACTCTCTCTCTCTCTCTCTCTCTGTGTGTGTGTGTGTGTGTGAGCGTGTGTGTGTGTGTATGTGTGACACAAGTGTGAAGTGTGTCACCATTCTTGTGTGGCAGTCAGAAAACAATTCTCAGGAGTTGCTTCTCTCCTTCTTGTGTAATCCAGAGACTGAACTCAGTTCATCACTGAACCATCTCACTGGCCAACCTGTGTTGTTTCAGCCACCAAACCTCTAGTTTTATGGCAGCAACAGGAAGCTAACATCCTTACCATTCCTATTCAGATCTCCCCCACACACACACACACAGAGCAAATCTGTAATAGTCAAACCCTGACTAAAAGCAAACAATGAACTAGATACTACAGTCAGCACATTGAGTGATTTACAGAGGGGCTTTTTCACCAAATACTTTCTGTCAAACTGGAAATTCTTCCCAATTAGGAGATGTCCAATTTCCACTTATTACTAAATCACTGCCATTATCTTGTCAGAATTTATTTTGTGGAGGAAAAGGAGAATACTGGCCACGTTACCAGAGAGTAGCAGATACTCCCCTATTGCAGGATTGGCTAAGTCTGAGATTTAAAGCAAGAAGTCCCGCAGTCAGAGCCAGTGCTGTTGCTCAGAATGTCCTGGAACACCCTCAGCCATGCTCAGGCTCACTTTACTCCTAACTCAAGAGGCATTCTGGCTAGGCAGAGACTGTTCACTCAGCTCATGTGTGAATAACTGGCTAATTTTCACTAACGTGAAAAGTAATATATGCTTACTGATGTAAAGGAAAAAAAAGAAACCTCTGACAATGAAAAGGGTATAAAGACAAAAAGCAAAAGTCCATCCATAACCAGAGGATACATAGTTCCAACATTCAAAACAGAAAGCTTCAGGAAGTGGGGAGGAGGGGGAGACCAAATGCTTATTTTACCAGGACAAGAGTTGGTACACTGGGCTGTGCCAATTAATCTAGGAGGCATATTCACCGGTCTACAACCTAGACATCTACAAATGTACTGTGTAGAGAAAATGCCAGCTGTGTAAGATGCCAAGTGTGAGTGAGACCATGACTACTGTAAGTCTCACATATGGACATGCCCACGCTGTTGTTTCCCAGGAATATGCATGGGATGTCCCACGGCTGGGTCACTTTGTTTTTGTTTCAGCTACTGAAAAATAGCACAATAAGCATTCTTACTGCAGCAATCTGTGGCTGATTAGTTTCTAGAGTAAGTTTCTGGGAACTGCCCTCCTGAGTTGAAGGGAAGCGGAGTCTGCATCTGACCCATTCTGCTGATGGTTTATGTGGCCACTCTCAATAACATCTTGAGAAAGACAAGTACTTGCTTCTAGGATTCAGTTCCTTGCTGTCTTTAAAGAAATCTTTTGATGAACATCAAGCTTTGAATTACTTAATATTCCATGGAATTCTCTCTTTTCCCAAGTTGACTCCTTAATCCTGCTACTCCCATCTCATGTCAACTTGGAAAAATTTCTAAATCTCTATTAGGAGGAAAGGCCTCACACCCATACAAAGACTGTCCTCTCTTACACAGTCTCTGAGGTGCTTGAAAGGTTAAAGTCATGGTTTTGGTTTAACATTATTTAAAAATCTGGGACTCAGATGAGTAGTGGCCATTTGTTTGAAGTTGCTAAACTGTCATATGTTGAAACAGAACGATCAAGCCTCTGCCTGTTTGCAATCAAGTCAGAGAGGTCAAAACGAATTCTAGATCAGCCTGACTTACTCCAGTCTGTGAAGTGTCCCTCAGCCCTGCCCAACTTCAGCCCACAGGTCCAGATACCTGGAGCCTATCAACTCCCTCAACACATGAAATAAATGCCCAGGTCTCAGGCTTCTAAAAATCTCAAACATTTGGAGCAGCTGTCAGACAGCAGCAACTGCTTCTGAGGTGCCACCTCAGAGCGTCATCTAGTTTGCTGTGAAAGGGTTCTCTGCAACTGCTCATTGTGAAGGTCATACTGCAGCAGCCACAGTGGGTGCAAAACCCACCAGCAGTACAGGGCAGTATAAAACTACCTGGGCCAAGTTTTCTCCTGTGGCCAGCCGGGAGGCAGAATGCAGACAGGTGAAGATGCCAGCCCAGGTCGCACCGGAAGCCACTGCCTGTGTAGAGCACGCCTCCAGCCCCTTCCCTGCAGCTTGAGTGAAGCAAGGCTCAACCAGAGGCCGGCCGGTGAGGAGAACTCCTGCAAACTGAATGCCCGAGGCCACTATCACGCAAGTCTCCTTAAGTACCCACAAGTATTAAACCCCATGCTGTCAAAGCTCAGTAAAAGGTTTTGTTTATTTATTTAATTATTTGCATGAGGTTGTTTAAATGTGGGACGTGGAGTGGGGGTGCATGCAGGTACATGTAACGGCCCAGAGTTGACATCAGGCGTCTTCCTCAACAGCTCTCCACTTTATGTTTTGAGTCAGCGTCTCTCACGGAACTGGAGGTCCCATTAGTCTACCTGGCCGGTCTTCCAACTTAGGAGCGGCTACCACGCCTAGCACGGGTCTGGGAACGTGAACTCCAGTCCTCACGCACAGAAAGTGCTTTATCCACTAAGGTATCTCCCCAACACAGCGAAAGGGTTTTAAGAGTGCCTAAAAAGGGCTAAGGAGACTAGTCACTCTTTCAGAGGACCTAGGTTCAATTCCTAGCACCCACATGGTGGTTCATAATGTCTATAACTCCAGTTCTAGGAGACTTGATACCTTCTGGCCTTTTTGAGCACTAGACATGCACATGGTATACAGACATACATGTGGGCAAAATACCCATACACACAAAGTAACAATAAATACTTTATTTTTCAAAGACCATGGTAGGAAAACGGTTTAGCTCTATTGACCCTCTTAGCAATGAGTAACCCATGCAGGCCCCTTCCTCTGGAAAATGGGCATAGCCACAGGGAAAGCTCGTGATGTGTGTGCATCCGCACACCTCCTTCAGAGCTGAGCAGAGCTCAGGAGCACGGAAAGCAGATCATTGTCAAAGGCTGCCGCTCACGCCAGTGCTGACTAACATCTGCTCCAGGGGAAATCATTACTTCTTTACTTCAACACCAAAATTCATCCAAATTAAGCTCTAAAATGTAGCTTTTCATTCTTTAAGAACTCCCAAGTCATTGGTATTGAAAGGGTTAGACTAACTTCGTAACCTGTATGTCTTCTAAAGCCTATAGTTTTGAGTTTTAGGTTCAGGTTAAGCTAAAGCCTCTTAGTACCTTTCCAGAGAATGGAAAAATGTGACCCTATCTATGAGGACAGATAGAAAAAAAGGCAAGCAAGCAATGACCTTCACTCAGCAAAAAGAAAAACTCCTGTCTTTGAGATAGCATTTTTTAGCAACAAACCTAGACTTCTTCTGAGTAGCTTTTGACCTCCAGCCAAAAGTCTGCAGCCCCTAATCTTCAAGGATGAGCTAATCAGCCCCACCTTCAATTGCAGCTGCATCCACACTTGGCAGGACTGGCCAAGCTTGAGCACCTAAGACTAACCAATTATCTTACTTTATAGCTTCCTCATCCAATCCTAGATTGCCAAGACTGCAACTTCAAATCTCCCGCAATTTTTCTTTTAAAAACCTAAAGGCCTTTGTCTCCCGGTGCCACTCTTTGCTGACCGGCAGGGGTGACCCCATTGCGCAATGGTTAATAAACCTCTTGCTTTTGCAACGAGTCTTGGTCTGGGGGAGTTTCTGGGAAGGGCATGATCTTGAACTCCTGAGCTGTGAGACCCCAGGTCTTACAGTATGATGTGTTTAATGTTTTTATTATTACTAATGTGTGTGTGTGCACCATGACATGCATGTAGAAATTAGAGGCTAACTTTGTGGACAGGACTCTCTTTCCACCTTTATGTGGGTTCCATGGGCTCAAACTCCATTAGAGAAAAACAAAATGAGATGGGGCGGGGCCCAGGGGGAGGGGCACCTGAGGACAAGGTAAACGATGCGGATCCATAAAGACGGCCAAGTCTGTTACTTAGGATGTTTCCCTAAGTGAGTAGCAACAATTAAAACAAACCTAAAATGACCAAAAGAAAAACAAAACAAAAAACCTAGAAGGCCAAAATCCGGCCTGTTTTTTTTTTGAGGATTACTGTAACAGATGCTGGAGACATGTTCAGACTTCATCTCCAGTCTGCACACCCTTCAGACAAAGCAAATTCAGAGTGGCAGACAACACTGAGAGGCACCCACTCCCACCTTCCAGTGCTAGGACACGGGTGTGCCGTGCTCTTCCCAGCCATCACCACCCGCACCTCACATGCACACGAAGGCCCCGGGCTCAGCAGCTCAGAGCACTGCTGCTCTTGAAGAGGACCTGAGTCTGCCCCCGCATCAGGGGCCTGACGGCCGCCCGTGCCTCTGCCTGACGGCCGCCCGTGCCTCTGCCTGACGTCGGGGCACTTGCACTCCTGCGTACACACAATTAAAAACATCTTTTTAGAAACGCCAAAACCAAAACAGCTCCACTTAATGGGGTGGAGTCTGTGCTTACGGTCACACTCCAAAATGCTGACCTGGGTGGGGCCCAAGTCCAGCTCACCTGCCTGGAAGGTAAGCTGGGACTCTCTGCTCCCTAGGATGCTCAACCAGCAAGAGACCACACATGGTTCATTTTCAACGTCCCCTTTGAGTCATCATGTCACTCATTCAGTTCATGGGCAACTAAGCCTTGGGATTTCCTGTCAACATACTGGTCCCTGGTTTCTGGGCATTTTAATTAATATAATTAAACTCATGAAAGGTGATGGAACCTCCACCAATCAATCAGACATTCAGAAATACAGTGAGTAAAGATGAAAAGGCAAGACCGCCCCCAAAATTGGACTTGTAAATATCTTTCCTCCACCCTTCTAGTCATCACAGAGGGTGAGGCTTGCTGGACAACAACTGATAAAGCTCACCTTGCCCAACAGCTGAGTGCAATTTTTCCATGTCAAACTTAATTTTGGATCTTCCTGGAGTGCTAAGCATCTTTTCCCACACTGTAGTTACTTCTTTAAGACAGGGAGTGATTTCTTCATAATCAAGCTTCAGGCGTTTGTTCAGCAAATCATTCTCAGAAGCTGGAAGAGATGAGCAAGGGCAGGTGAGTGGGAGTTCTGGGGCCGTTGGCTACAGTGACCCCACATGGTCCCTGCCCACCACTACTGAGATGTTGAGAACTTGCAGCCAGCAGCACAGGTCCAACTGAAGCTACCTGCTTTCCTCCTCTTAGGAATGCTAAAATGCCTCTTTGGCCACCCCACGCCAACTGTGCCTCATCCAGAGGCAACAGAGAGTCAGGCTTGGTCAGGACTTGGGTGAACAAACATGAACCCCCTGGAAACTGCCTTGGTTTCTCTCCAGCACACCCTTCCCCAATGCGGCCTGCCGGCCTTCCTGCTGGTGTAGCCCACATAATACTGCCCACTCCCACAGCCTCAGGTCAGGGCAGAAGTGCCTCACTGCTGTGCCCAGGGCTTGGCACAGCAGGTTCTCAATAGCTTTTGTTCACCTAAGCTGGAGAGACACTCTACATTCCTCCTATTTAGAGCCAGGCCTCACACAGGTGCTGTCAGTCTCTGTAGAACAGCTCCCCCCGTCATAGGACATCTCCTCATGATTCTGAAACAGTTATGGTGTCTCTCCAAAGAACACTAGAGTAGCATTAAGAATTATTATTAAATTACCAAATAGGACCATCTTAGATTCTCCACCCACTTCCCACCCCGACACAAGAAAGTACGTCACTAGAGCTGAGCTTACCACATCTGGCAAGTCAGGATTATCACTAGCCTCCCTAGGCTGACAGGAGCCAGCACTGGGCTCTAAACACCAGAGGGGCTTCATTGGCAAAGAACTCTGTCATAACCGGACTGGTATTTTCCAACACTGCCCACCAAACAACCAGAATCTGCTTTCAAGTCCAGGAACCTTATACAGCCAGCAAAAGAAGACTTGGTCAAAGCTTAATCTGAGGATTTTGTTGTCACCCCACCCCCACCCCAACTCCTGCCTCAGACCCCTGAGGACAATGTTGACTACATATATGGAGAGGACCCCTGCTCCGATGTAGCTGAGAAGAAGCTCAGTCTCTACGTAGGTCACCTAGTAAGGGGACCAGCGGCTGTCTCTGACATGAACTCTGTTGCCTGCTCTTTGATCACTTCCTCTAGGTGAGGTGGCCTTACCAGGAAGAAGGTGCAGGCAGGCCTGAAGAGACTTGATAGTCTCTGGGGTCAGAGGGAAAGGGAGGAGGGCTCCCCCTTTTTGAGGACTGGGAGACAGGAAAAGGGGGAAAGAGGGTAGGACTGGAAGGAGACAAGGTAGGGGCTACAATAAGGATGTAAAATGAATAAATTAATAATAAAAAGGCCTTGTGTCTTAGTTACTATCAGCTCTATTCAAGCTTCGAGGTCCTTATTAAAAAACAAAACCCTGTGACCAAGGCTAATGCTCAGTGAAACACTAATTCCAAAACTTCATTAAGCAATGGCACCATGAGCTGACCGCCTACCACAGCCTCCCTTTGGGAGCGTGTACTCACCAACTTCCCACTCAAAATCTTAAGGACTTCAAATCCAGGTAGTGGTTTACACCCTGGAACCAACTTGCTTCCCACAGGGAACATGCATGCAGCTGCTTAAGTGACTCTAAAAATGACATCTACTGATTCAAGTCTTGAAATAGGAAATTCACAACCTGGTCTTTATAAGCTTCTGTCATATTTTGATAACAGTATCTATAAAGGTAAAGCTCAGATAAATTTCTATTCTGGAACTCACTAATAGCCACATAAAATGGGGTTATATACTTTAAAGATTTACATAGGATCAGTTTATTCTCAATACCCAGGCAGAAACTATGGCTGGGAATTAAAAAAAGGAAAAAAATAATAAATAAACTCCATAAACCTACCATAAGACCAATACCACAACAAAACCAGCCAACCAATTAAACAAACAATATAACTTACATCTGAGAGTTAGAGCTTAAGTGGCAGGTTGCATCTCAGAATTTCTAGACATGTAAAGCGAGTCTTATTGACCTCTCAGTGTGTTACAGATTCCTCTATGGCATTATAAGCACCATGTCTAGAAAGCAAACGGTGTTTGAACAAGTAAAAAGACATAACAGGCACCGAGTATGCAAGGCCTCCTTGACTGTTGTGTTTAAGGCTGTCAAAGATCAGGTAAGAAACATCAGTTTTTTTCAGCTTCACACTCCAAACCAACCTTGTAGCTTCTGATTCTCCTTCTCCATCCTGAGCAGCAGGATCTGTTGCAGAATCGCCTTTTTCCACAGCTCTCGAAGCTCGCGCGAGGTCCTCTTCTTTTCTTCAGGTACAGGGCCAAATGGTCCATCCTCACACACAGGTTCTAACGGGGATCGTGGAGGGAGCTCTCCCAGCTCTGAATAATCTGGAAATGAAAAAGGACACCACAGAATGGTATGTTTCCTTTTAGAAGTGTGTGTGTGTGTGTGTGTGTGTGTGTGTGTGTGTGTGTGTGTGTGTCTGACAGTTCTGCGGAACCGGTTCTTTCCTTCCTTCAGCCTGAGTCCCTGTGACTGGACTCAGGTCACTGGGCTTACACAGTAAGCACCTTCAGTCACTCAGTCATCCCACCTGCCTCAGAATGTTCTGTTTTTCAACAACAAAGAGCATGAACTCGAATGTTTTACCAACTCAAGAAAGGTCTGCTCAATTAGCTAAGATATGACATTACGAGGTGTAAAATTTATGTTCTGTGGCCAGCAAGATGGCTCAGCAGGTGAAGGTGCCTGTCACTAAGGCTGGTAACCTGAGTTTGGTCCTGTGACCCGCAGGAGGTAAGGAAAGAGCTGACTACCGAAAGTCGTCCTTTGGCCTTCACGTGAGCGCTGTGGTAGCGCAGGCTTACCGCTGCCCACACCCCTAAGTAAACAGCTGTGACTTAAATTATGTTTTAGCGTTCACCACAGTAAATTATGTATGAGTCAAAAACATAAAGCAGATGACACACTAAATAGAGAGCAGAAGCTTAAGTAGTTGGGGAAATGTTTAAAGACACTTTTTAGGTTTTAGGATGACCTTCTGAGGTTATTTAATAGCAAGCAATCATCTAGTCGTTTGCTTCTACATCATTTATTTAACACAACTACCCTAAGACACCAGGATTGAGCTTTATCAATCTGTTTTTATATTTAAAAAATGTGGTGCAACAAACAAACAAGGTATAGGCATTGGAGAGACTTCCACGGTGTCACGTAGCTGGGCAACAGGAAACCAACATGGGAACACAGCAGCCTGGCTCACACTTGCTGTCGCGGCATTAGCTATGGAGAAGGTTACATGTACTTAAGACACCAGATGAGCTGGGTTTGTTAACAGTGCTCCCATCAAGCAAAGAGAACTAGTGGTACTTGGCATTTGGACAGGCAGTCACTTATCCTGACATACAACTTCCTGAAACAGAAAGTAAGGCCCAGAAAAACCGACCAAATAAGCAAGCAGGCGCACAGGGGTTCCACTGTCACCTGGCTCAGAAGCCACCTGCTCCTACAGACGGAACTTCAACTCTAGTGTGCCCACATCAGTTTCTAAATGTCTGTCTTATTTAACTCCTCCTATTTCGTGAATCTGTATCCCTCTCTCTGCAGAAACCACATTCCTGATCCACATAATATTCTAACTCTCAAATCCCTTACAGACACACACTGACAGCGTCCCCCCTGCTCACTGCGACTCTAAGGGGCAGCGTGGCCCTCATTCAACTGAAGCATTCTCAGGAGCTACTCTGCACAATGAACATAAGCAACGTGGCTCCTCACATCTGCACGCGAAACAACCTTCACATGCAGCTTGAGCCTCAACATCACCCAAACAGAATCTCAGTCTGACCACCAGCTCCAACACGAGCCTGTGTTCTCACTCCACTGGCCCTGGCCACTCACTGTCTGTCCCACAGCCCAGATCCCTGAGTGCACACAGAAGCACAAAGCACTTTATTTCTTCCAAGTAACCCTAGTAATCTGAACTCCTAATAATGCTGGGTCGGAACTGAGCCAGGACCGAGGACTAATTCTAATAGTTTAGGATGCCTGGCCTCAAGGCCAGTGAAGGTTCTGACTAGAGCTTACTGACTACGGAGGCTTATGGAGTGTCAGCTTTGACTTCAGGATTCATCGAAACCTCATCTGCAACCCTGCAAGCACTGTTTGGTGATGATGATGTGAGGTTTAAGACATAATTGTTCTCCACCCTGGTCTACTGCCCAGTCAGCAGGGCTATTTGTTGGGTGATACAAATAAGCTTGTCTGATTTTCCTAAGAACCTTACAGAACAGACTTCAAACCAAAACCAATCAGAAGAGATGGGACAATCAGAATCAGAAGGACACTAAATACTCATGAGAGGTAAAACCCACCAAAAGGACAGTGAATTTCTAACATCTATGCACCAAACACAAGGACACCCAAGTTGATACAGGAAACAACTTAAACATTATGAACCCCACACACTGACAGTGGAAGCCTTTAATACCTTACTCTCACCAATAGACAGGTCATCTAGAGAAATACTGGAACTAAGCCATGTTATAATCCATGGACCTAGCAGATATTTACAGAACATTTCACCCAAAACCAAAAGAATATATCTTCTTTTCGGTGCCTCATGAATTTTCTCCAAAACAGAACAATACTCTGATACAAAGCAAGTCTCAACAGACACAAGAAAATTGAGACAATGCCCTGCATCCCATCTGACCACCATGGATTAACGCTGGAAAGCAACACCAACAGAAAGTTTACAAACTCATGGAAACTAAACAACTCTCCACTAAATAAGAAATGGGTCAAGTCAGAAATTAAGAAAAAAATTAAAGACTTTCTACAATTGAATGAAAATGAATAAATAATAAACCCAAACTTGTGAGATACAATGAAGGCAGTTATAAGAGGCAAATTCATAGCATTACATGCCTACAAACAAAACAAAACAAAACAACAAAAACAGGAAAGCTCTCATAATAGTAACTTAACAGCACACCTGAAAACTCTAAAACAAAAAGAAGAAATCAAACCCCAAAGGAGTAGATGTTAAGAAATAAACTCAGAGCTGAAATCAATAAAATAGGAACTAGGAACAACAATAACAACAATCAATACGAGAATCAATGAAACAAAGGGTTGGTTCTTCAAGGAAATCAGTAACACCGACAAACCCTTATCCAAATTAACTAAAAAGTAGAGTAGATAAAAATTAACAAAATGAGAGATGAAAAGGGGCATAACAAGACACTGAGGAAATCCAGAGAATCATAAAGACATAACTTTAAAAATCTATACTCCATCAAATTGGGAAATCAACAAGAAATGCATAGTTTTCTTTTTTATTTTAATTTTATTTTTATTAATTACAGCTTATTTACTTTGTATCCCAGCTGTAGCCCCCCCCCAATCCCACTCTCCCTCCCTCTTCTTCTCCTATGCCCCTTCCCCAGTCCACGGATAGTAGAGATCCTCCTTCCCTTCCATCTGACCCTAGCCTATCAGGTCTCATTAGGACTGGCTTCACTATCTTCTTCTGTGGACTGGTCAGGCTGCCCCCAGGCCCCTTCAGGTGGAGGTGATCAAAAAGCCAGCCCCTGAGTTTAGGTCAGAGACAGTCCCTATTACTGGGGAACCCTCTTGGACACTGAGCTGCCATGGGCTACATCTGTGCCCATAGGTTATCTCCATGCACGGTCCTTGTTTGGAGTATCAGTCTCACCAAAGACGCCTGTGCCCAGATTTTTGTTTCTGTTGCTGTCCTTGTGGAGCTCCTGTCCCCTCCAGTTCTTTCTATCTCCCCCTTCTTTCCCTGTACTCTGCCCAGAGTTTGGCTATGAGTCTCAGCATACATTTTGATACCCTTCTAGGTAGAGCCTTTCAGAGGCCCTCTGTGGTAGGCTCCTGTCCTGTTTCCTGTTTACTCCCTCTTCTGATGTCTGTCCCGTTTGCCTTTCTGAATGAAGATTGAGCATCTTACCCAGGGTCCTCCTTCTTGATTAGCTTCCTTAGGTATACAGATTTTAGTAGGTTTATCCTATATTATATGTCTAATATCCTCTTATAAATGAGTATATACCATGTGTGTCTTTCTGCTTCTGGGATACCTCACTCAGGATGATCTTTTTTAGATCCCACCATTTGCCTGCAAATTTCATGATTTCCTTGTTTTTAATTGCTGGGTAGTATTCCATTGTGTAAATGTACCACAGTTTCTGTATCCATTCCATCTGGGTTGTTTCCAACTTCTGGCTATCACGAATAAAGCTGCTACAAACATGGTTGAGCAAATGTCCTTGTATATTTGAGCATATTTTGGATATGTGCCTAGAAGTAGTATAGCTGGATATTGAGGTAGTACTATTCCTAATTGTCTGAGAAAGCACCAAATTGATTTCCAAAGTGGTTGTACAAGTTTACATTCCCACCAGCAATGGAGTAGGGTTCCTCTTTCTCCACATCCTCTCCAGCATGTACTGTCACTTGAGTTTTTGATCTTAGCCATTTTGATGGGTATAAGGTGAAATCTCATTAGGTCTTACTTGATAGCCTATATGCCACAAATTTTGAAAAATTAAACGAAATGGACAATTTTCTTGATCGATTCCACTTGCCAGAACTGAATCAAGACCAGGTAAATCAATTAAATAGTCCTATATCCCCTAAGGAAATAGAAGCAATCATCAAAAGTCTCCCACCCAAAGAAAGCCCAGGGCCAGATGGTTTCAGCACAGAACTTTACCAGACCTACAAAGAAGAGCTGACACCAATACTCTTCACACCATCCCACAAAATAAAAACAGAAGGAACAGTACCAAACTCATTCTATGAAGCCACAGTCACCTTGATACCTAAACCTCACAAAGACCCAACAAAGAAAGAATTTCAGGCCAATCTCTCTTATGAACATTGATGCAAAAATACTCAATAAAATACTAGCAAACCAAACACAAGAACATATCAAAGATATCATCTACCATGACCAAGTAGGCTTCATCCCAGGTATGCAGGGGTGGTTCAATATATGGAAATCAGTCAATATAATCCACCACATAAACAAATTGAAAGAAAGAGACCACGTGATAATCTCCTTAGATGCCGAAAAAGCATTTGACAAAATCCAACATTCCTTTATGTTTAAAGTCTTGGAGGGATCAGGGATACAAGGCACTTACCTAAACATAGTAAAGGCGATATACAGCAAGCCTATAGCCAACATCAAACTCAATGGAGAGAAACTTAAGTCAATTCCACTGAAACCAGGGACAAGGCAAGGCTGCCCACTCTCTCCATACCTCTTCAACATGGTACTTGAAGTCCTTGCTAGAGCAATAAGACAATTAAAGGAGATCAAGGGGATTAAGTTCGGAAAGGAAGAGGTCAAAGTGTA